CCCCGAGGTGGCGGGCCGGGCGGAGGCTCCTGCAGCCGCCGGGCCCACGGGGATGCCTCGCGGGTGAGGCGGCCCCCAGCTCCCAGCCGCGTTCATGGCGGTGGCCAGGAAGATCAAAACTTTGCTGACGGTCAACATCCTGGTGTTCGTGGGCATCGTCCTCTTCTCCGTGTACTGCCGCCTGCAGGAGCGCTCCGGGCAGCTGGTGCAGATGGGGCGCAGCGCCGACCGCCGCGTGCGCAGCCGGCACGCCAAGGGGGGCGCGCTGCTGGACCGAGAGGCCATCCTGCAGCGCCTCGACCACCTGGAGGAGGTGGTGTACAACCAGCTGAATGGTGAGACCCGCACCCGCCGCGCAGGACCAAGGGCAGGCAGGGGCGTGGGAGGAGGACAGCCCACCCAGCCCCTGGAACTGGGCTGATCAGAAGCGTCGGGGTGGAAGCGCCTTCTGTGTTTCTTGGGAGGAACCGGTGGGGGGAGGGGCAGATAGAAAAGAGCAGGGCTCTTTGAAGGATCCAAGGCTTGGCCTAGATGGCCCATCATTCATTCATTCATTCATTCATTCATTCATGGATACCTGAGCGCATCCCCCCACCCCTCACACCCAATGACACCAAACTTATTCTTCAAGAGAACTTGAGGGAACATCTAAAGAGGCTCCAAGGACCTGTCCTAAGACCAGGCAATGCCCAGGTGGGAGGGTGAGGGGTCCATGTTTGTCCAGTGGCTTCAACTGGAATTGCTCCCCTCTCCCTGAAGATGTGGAAAGAGGCCAGTGACGGCCCCCCGAAGCTGCTGATGCCATGTCCTTGGCCTCGGAGGTCCCAGTCATCCACCAGTGCCTTAGGGAAAGGACGCTGCCCTATGACCACTCTGGCCTAGAGGGCCTCCCACCTTGGGATACCCAGGGCTTGCTCGGGGAAGTTTTGTTGTGGGAGAAGCTTGAAGCACTGAGCAGGCAACTGTGGACAGGTGCAGTGGAGGACCTACCAGGGGTTTGGCAGAAATCAGTCACCAGTGGACTCCTGGGTAGTGTGACAGGTGCCTCATGGTCCTTGCAGGCATCTGCAGAAAGCCTAGCTTTGCAATGGCGGGTGCTGGCGTGGGGCAGCATGGGCCTGGGTCACAGGGGTCAGGGCCAGAAGCCAATGTGGGGCACGGGCACTTCTCTACTTTGGATGCCGCCAGACAGGAGCTTGCTCTGTGCAGAGGTTCCGAGGAAGGAGGAGGAAAGTTGACATAATTAGCGGTTCTTTCTTTCCTGTCTGTGCTGACAGCTCAGGTTTCTGCATTGGCAGCACCAGCAAACCTCCTCCGGGAAGTATCAGTAACAAGCTGCAGTAGGAGGGTCGGGCCAGGTTGCGCAGGCGGTTCTCCTGCCGGCTATGCGTGTTGGGGCCCCTGCAGGTGTCCCTGCCAGGAGGGGGCATCATGACGGGCCTTGGGCAGCAGCTCCCAGGCTGTGCCAGGCTGGGCTCCCGGGACGAGGGCCTGTCAGAGGGCTGCCTTGAGGAGATGGCCTCCTCCTGACTTCCCGGGTGCCTTCTTGTCACCCCCACAACTGATGGCCCCCGGAAGAGCTGGCAGGCTTGGTGGCTTTCCTGATCTTTCCTCTTGTGCTGAAGCCGTGACGAGAGCAAAGTTGAGTTCAAGTGGCCGCTTGGCCGTCCTGTGGTGATTCATCGCCTGGCAGGCCGTGTGCCCGTAATAGCTCAACGCTTTATTGAAGTGCGTTTGCCAGGGTGTTATGGTCTGTTTTATGGGGAGGACCGGAGGATTATATAAAAACATTGGCGGCACCCTGGGCTGTGGAACGTCACGGCGGCCAGCTTGGCTCCGTGTGCATGCCTTTCCTTGCCTTGCCCTTCAGGATGAGGAGCTGGGAGCTACACTCCTTTCCTGACACGAGGGGCGATGAGGCAGGTGGCACCGCCCTTCCCCTCTCTCCTTCTCCTGGCGTCTTCCTCCTGACCCCGTGCTCTCCCGCCCCTCTGTTTCCTTTCTCTCTTCTCCTTCCTCCCTGCCATCATCTTCCTCCCCCACCCTCCCCCTCCCCCTCCATCCTCTCTCTCTGTGTCTGTCATTCCCCAATCTCTCCCTGACTCCTGCTCCTTCTCTACCCTCTTCTGGGGTGGTGGTATCACACCCCCTTTGCATTCTACATGCCCAGCAGAGTGTGCTGACCCAGCCGTCATTCGGGTTCCTGGAGACGACAAGAGGCACACAAATATAACAGTCGGGCTGGTCCCCCAGGAGAGGGTAGTGCACAAGTGGGGTTGGCGTCTGTTCACGTGGCACCATCTGAAAGCCATTCCCCTGCACATCCGGCAGATCTCTGTGCTGAGGTGCTGAGAAGAGCAGAAGGAGGCTTCTTGGAGGAGGCAAACCCTGCCCCCATGGCCTGCCCCCTCCCCATGGCCTGCCCCCCATGGTCTATCCCCCTCCTCATGGACTGTCCACCATGGTCTGCCCCACATGGTCTATCCCCCTCCCCATGGCCTGCCCCCCATGGTCTATCCCC